CAAAATATACTTCGTCCACTTACGATTCTTTTGGCTTTTATAGATCTTAATTTGATCAGTTACATTGTCTGTAATCGCTTACGTAAGAATTGCCTTGTGGAACTCTATTTCTGCCCGATTTGCATTTTCCAAGGCATTGACGTCATCCTGATGTTTGCACCCTGATTTCCATTTTTTGTTAATTTTAAATATATTTTCTTTTTATTTTTTAGTATAAAATTCATAGAAAATAGTATTATTTGAAGAAAATTCTGAATAATTACTAGATATTATATTACATCCCTATGATCGATTGGAAAAATTAATGATATTTTTTTGGAAGTTTTATTGAATTATAATTGGAATATTTGTTCAGAAATACTTCTAAATATGTGAAAAATCATACTTTCTAGTTTTATAAATTTTAAATTTGTATGATTTACTATACAACGACTAAGTCATGTTAAATTTGGCACCATTTTTGGGGATGTATTGCATAATATTTAGTATTGTCCTATTTTTCTCTAGAGTATACAAAAAATATTTTTTTTTTTTTGTTGAGTTTTTTTTTAAACAAAAGGGAATGAAGAGAAGCAAGACAAGGACTGGAGCATATTGAAGGAGGGTAAATAATGCGACTTAGCCGTTGTATATTAAATCAGGCAAATCTAAAATTTATAAAACTAGAAAATATGAATTTTTGAATATTTAGAAGTATTTTTGAATAATATATCAATTATAATTTAATAAAACTTCCAAAAATAGCCATAATTTTCTAAGTCGATCACAAGGATGTAATATAATATCTGGAAATTATTCAGAATTATTCCCAATGAATACAATTTTCTATGAATTTTATACTAAGAAATGAAAAGGAAATATATTTAAAATTCATGAAAAATGAAAATAAGGGTGTGGACATCAAGATGACATCAACACCCCCAACGAATGCAAATCAGGCAGAAATAGAGTTCACCCGGTGATTCTTACATAAGCAATTACAGATAATTTAATTAATCAAGTAAAGATCTGTAAAAGTCGAAAGAATTGTCGTTGAACAAAGTATATTTTGGTAAATTAAAATCACAAAAATTATCATGTATCCAAAGAGTATTCCAACATTTCATGCTACTAGATCATTCTTTTGACTCAATAATAATCTTCCTAGTATCTATTTGGTATCAATCAAATCTAATTGATTTAATTTTTCATGCATGCAATATAATGTAAGAAATTTGTAAATTAGATAGTTCTGGTAGTTCTATTTTCTATTTTCAGTTCTATTTTTAGTAGTAGTAAATTTGTCAAAAATAAATCAAAATTATCCTCTTTATAGTTGTAATTTTGAATTTCAGTAATATATATCTAGGGGATTGAAATGTGAGAAAAGGGTCTTCTATAATTTCAAATTTCAAGTTGTTTTTTGTCTACTATTTTTGATAGTCTGTTGTTTCTGACAGAAAACCAGAAAATAGATGTTGTAGTTTTTCTGAATTTTTTTATTTTTTTATTTTTTTAGTTGCTGTTCTAAGTTGAATAAAATGTAAACACATGTTCTTAATCGTCTTACAACATAAATTAATAATGAATACTTCACCCCCCAACTTAAAAATGACATTGTCCTCAATGACATAGAAAAATCGAAATAGAATATGCAGAAAATATAATTTTCACGTGAAGCATGCATATGTGCAAAGTTAAGCATTAAAAATATTTTCGTAAATGATAAAGCTCAGAAAGACATCACCTCAACCTCGTTTTTAATTTTTCACTTCATCTTACACTCTTTCTCCTGCACTTTTTTGAAAAAAACAAATACAGAAACAAGTACTAGGAAATTTTAAGAAAAACAGAGCTTAAAAAAAAATCAAATAGAATGAAATAAAAATCATGGGTTGCCTCCCATGTAGCGCTGAATTTAATGTCTCCAGTTAGACAACTCTTAGATTATATAAGATGATCTATGGCCATCAAAATATATTTGTATCCCAAGGTAAGTTTCATGATATTTTTTTTCAGATTTAGCGTAAATTCGTATACTTCATATATATACCTTGACATACTTTCAGCCAAAAAAAAATAGAAATTAAATTTTTTTCCCAAAAATAATATTTCCATTTTGAAAAGAATCTTTCCTCATTTCTATTTTGTTTTGTAAGGCTTTCATTCATTAATAAATACTTTCTATTAATAGACCATAAAATGTGATCAAGCCATATAATTTTCAAATTAGCTCTTACCCAATCTAAAATTTTTTCATCTAAATTGATATCTCTAATTCTTCTATTCATCCATTTCTTAATGTCTTCTTTTATCTACATAATCTTCCCTTGCTCCATTTTATCTTTCATACATATTTGTTTAATTTGCGAAGAGTGAAATATTTCAAGCTTAGAAATAATTATAATGGGCTGTTGGTTTTGAAGGATGGAAGGATTGTCTTCTTTAATCTCAGATCTAATGAATTCAGTAAAATTTAAATTTTCTCTTCCAAAATTATCTCTATATTCATATCCATTATTTCCGTTTCTCCCCATTAGTTGAATCAACTCTTTTTCTAGCTTTTTGTTTCTTACTCATCAAATTCTTCATCTTCCTAAGAGCTATCTTTTAATTTCGGTATATGATATACATCATCATCCTCACAATCAACATCCATGGCTGCAAAATTATGATTAGATTTATTAATTTCGTCTCCTACGTCTCCCAAATCAACTGATTTTTCCTCACCTGAAATATGTTTTTCTTCATTTTTGTCTTTACTCCCTTGTACTAAAATTTGGATGATTTTTCCATGATCAGTTGTTGTTTCTTCATCTAAGGGCTCTTTTTCTTCATCATCCTCACTATATTCATTCATCAATTGTAAGTAATAAATGATTTTATTCAAATTTTCTACTACTATATTTTCGGCCTTAATATTCTCATTTACTTCTAATAGATCATCAATTTCTTCTAATAATTAGAAATAAGGATCAGGTAAAATATTCTCACTCAATGTATTCACTGTCCTAACATTTTTATTTCGTGGGTTTTTTTCTAAATTTATTTAGCTAAACTCTTCTTGCTGAAATTCTACTATTGGACAATTTTCTGAATTTTCTATGGGCTAACTAGGTAGTTGTCCCTCTTCTCTCTTATTCCCAAGAGCCTCTATAATTTATTTCTGGTGCAGCTTCATTTGATTCATAGTTTGTTGCATCATTTGGCTCATTTGTTGCATCATTTGGCTCATTTGCTGTATCATTTCCATAGCATCAGGTTGGATTTGAGAGGACTGATTTTTCTGAAATCTATGTTCCTATTTTAGACGAAATTCAAAATGTGAATTGGATCTAAGTACTTCTGATTTTGAATATTATTTGGATTTCTCCACGAAAAATTATTCCCCCAATTAAGATTATAAGAATTAGAAAAATATTCTCTATTTTTACTAAAATTGTGGGGTACCTACACTTGTTCTTGCTTATGATGATATTGCAATTCGAAATGATCATTTTCACCATACATAGGACGTGTACTATTTGAATTAAATTGAGGGTTAAGAGACTTTCTAATATTGTCAATAAGTAAATTAAGTTTTTCTAATCTTTAATTAATCTGATTAACCTCATTTCTAAGTTTAGAATCATCATGATGATGCAATTCATAAATTTCTCTCTTCATATCTTTGTCATATAATTCAAAAGAGGCTTGATCTCTCAAATTTTCACTTAAATTCTCATAAAGACTGTAAATCTCATCAGGAATTTTCTCCATAAAAGCTCCTCCACATATAGAATCAACCATATTTCTATGTTGTTCTAATAATCCATCATAAAAAATTCTATTGAGCTGCTACTTGGGTATAGCATGATGAGAGCACTTTCTAAGTAAATCTTTGAATGTTTCCCATGTCTCATGTAAAGTTTCTCCTAGTCTTTGAGAAAAACTCCATATATGTTTTCTCATATTTTGAGTTTTCCCTAAGGGATAAAATTTTCGAAGAAAAGTTTGTTTGTTCTATGTCTTTCTAGCTAGTTAATTCTCTATTTAATGTGGATAGCCAATGGCTAGTTTGTCCCTAAGTATATGAGAGAATAATTTCATCTTAATAATTTCTGATGTAACTTGAGGGAGATTAACTAAATCACAGATCATATGAAATTTTTCTAAGTGCTGATGAGATTCCTCTAAAGTCAATCTATGAAAATTAAGGGGCATTTAAAAAATTCCTAGATTTATTTCAAATTTAACAATGGGTGCTAATGGGACTCTAATATTTGATGCTCTTTGAAATGAATCAGGGATATAATGATTTTTCATGGCCACAGGATTGTTCTCAATTTGACCTGTACTTCCTTCAAGATCCATCAAAATTAATTTTTCTTTCAGGTTTTTATTTTTGAATGAAATAATGAAAGTATTTTCTAGCCTTTGATGCAAGGATCTTCTACCATGCATAAAAATCAATAATTCAAGGGAAAAAGTTAGTAACTATTACCCTCCTTCAAGATGCTTCAGTCCTTGCCTTGCTTATTTTCGTTTCCTTTTTCTAATAACAAATCGGCAAAAAGAAAATAAAATAAGAGTTAAATTTATTTTTTTTATGTACTCTAAGAGAAAAATAGAAAAATATTAAATATTACGCAATACATCCCCGACAACAGTGCCAAAATTTAAAATACTAGGAAATGAAAAGGAAATATCTTTAAAATTCACAAAAAAATAAAATAAGGGTGTGGACGTTGGGATGATGTCTATGCCTGACGAACACAAATCGGGCGGAAATAGAGTTCCACTCGGTGATTCTTTCGTAAGCGATTATAGACGATTTAATTAATAAAATTAAGATCTATAAAAGTTGAAAGAATCATAATTGAACAAAATATATTTTGGTAAATTAAAAATACAAAAATTAATCACTAAATGAAGCATAAAGTAAGTTGAAAGTAGGAAAATAGAGTTTCGACGTCATGACGGCGATGCATCGACGATACACCAGAATCTTGAGTGTTCAGGAGGATCGTCATATAGTGTCTATGGCTTCAAAGGCTCTCTTTGGACAAGGACGACGTAGGCAATCTCTAGATCTTCTCGTGAAGTCTAGAGATTAATGAAATGGGTCGTCGAGTCATTTCCAACGGTTGTGACGTGACTCAGTCATTGTATATTAAATCACGCAAATATAAAATTTATAAAACTAGAAAATACAAATTTTTGAATATTTAGAAGTATTTCTAAATAAATATATCAATTATAATTCAATAAAAATTCCAAAAATAGCAGTAATTTTCCAGGTCGATCACAGGGATGTAATATAATATCTGGTAATTATTCAGAATTTTTTTCAATGAATACGATTTTCTTACGAATTTTATATTAGGAAATAAAAAGGAAATATATTTAAAATTCACGAAAAAAAAGGAAATAAGGGTGCGGGCGTCAGGATGACATCAGCGCCCGGCGAACGCGAATCAGGCAGAAACAGAGTTCCACCCGGCGATTCTTACGTAAGCGATTACAGACGACTTAATTAATCAAATTAAAATCTGTAAAAGCCAGAAGAATCGTAATTTAACGAAGTATAGTTTGGTAAATTAAAATCACACAAAGTATCACTAAATGAAGCGTAAATTAAATTGAAAGCAGGAAAACAGAGTTCCGGCGTCGCGACGGCGATGCGTCAGCGATGCATCGGAATCCTGAGCATTCGGGAGGATCGTCGTGCAGTGTCCATGGCCTCGAAGGCTCTCCTTGGACAAAGACGACGTGGGCAATCTCTAAATCTTCTCGCAAAGTCTAGAGATCAATGAAGTGGGTCGTCGAATCGTCTCTGGCGGCTGTCACCCGGCGGAGCGGAAAAACGGTGACTTTGCGGCTCTCCGACGGCTGTCACCCGACGGAGAGGAGCTGGATGGAGGTGGGGCGCGTGTCAGGGAGCTTCATCCTCAGGTCCGCGCAGCAAGAGGAGGCTCTTCATCGCATCTGGTACGCTCTCAGGAGGTGGCGACTGGTCTCCCGGCGGATCGTCCTCTTCCCGACGACGGCTTGTTCGCCGATCAATCGGAGATGATTTACTCGATGGATTGCGATCCTTTTATCGCGAATCGTTCAGAAATTTTAGTAGCAATGCTCCGCGAATCGCGTTGACGAGATTTTCGCCGATGATCCAGCGATTCCGGTTGCTTAATCCTTCACTGGCGATCTGCAGGAAAGTCGCGATAATCAGTTAAAAATATATGAATTTTGACTCTAGGAGGATTCGAACCCGCGGCGGTCGCCGGCCCCTGAACAAGGTGTGACGCGGGTTTAGTCCCACATCGGTTGTGCGCGGATTATTTGGGCGAATATATAGTAAAGTTAGCTTTGTAGGCAAAATCCTCTCGCGTGTACGACCACTCCTTGCCCCACAGCCGGCTGACCACCGGTGACGTGGAAGGGGAGTGGCGCACACGTGCCCCTATCGATCCAAGCAAGCCGCTCGAGCCCCTGCTCGCGGCTACTCCCCGACTGCGCTTCCGACCCGCTTGCGGGCCCGGCTGGCCGGCGGGTCTCCCCATTTTGCAATATTTTTATTTTTATTTCTTGTTCTTCGTTTATCTCAAAACTAAGACTGTAAAAATCGTATAAAATCACATAATTACCCAAAAATTCACGTTAATCAACTGAAAACCACTTTTCATGCTTTAACACAAATATAAGTCTATTGATCATGAGTTAAGGCTAAAACTATATTATTTACTAATTATTAACTCATGATAATGAAGACTTATCAAGAGCCTTCGAGGCCGTGGACACTGCACGACAATCCTCCCGAACGCTCAGGATTCTGGTGCATCGTTGACGCATTGCCGTCGCGACGCCGGAACTCTGTTTTCCTGCTTTCAACTTAATTTACGCTTCATTTAGTGATACTTTGTGTGATTTTAATTTACCAAACTATACTTCGTTCAATTACGATTCTTCCGGCTTTTACAGATCTTAATTTGATTAATTAAGTCGTTTGTAATTGCTTATGTAAGAATCACCGGGCGGAACTCTGTTTCTGCCTGATTCGCGTTTGCCGGGCATTGATGTCATCCTGACGTCCGCACCCTTATTTCCCTATTTTTATGAATTTTAAATATATTTCCTTTTTATTTCTTAGTATAAAATTCGTAAAAAAATCATATTTATTGAGAAAAATTCTAAATAATTACCAAATATTATATTACATCTTTGTGATCAATGTGGAAAATTACTGCTATTTTTGGAATTTTTATTTAATTATAACTGATATATTTATTTACAAATACTTTTAAATATCCAAAAATTCATATTTTCTAGTTTTATAAATTTCATATTTGTGTGATTTAATATACAACGATTGAGTCACGTCAAATTTAGGTGCCATTGTTGGGGATGTATTGCATAATATTTAGTATTTTTCTATTTTTTTCTTAGAGTACATAAAAAAAAAAACTTAACTCTTGTTTTATTCTCTTTTTGCCGATTTTTATTAGAAAAAGGGAACGAAAAGAAGCACGGCAAGGACTGGAGCATCTTGAAGGAGGGTAATAGTTACTAACTTTTTCCCTCGAATTTACTGTTTTTTATCCATGATAGAAGATCCTTGCATCCAAGGCTAGAAAATCTTTTCATTATTTCATTCAAAAATAAAAATCTGAAAGAAAAATTAATTTTGATGGATCTTGAAGGAAGTACAAGTCAAACTGAGAACAATCCTATGGCCATGAAAAATCATTATATCCCTGATTCATTTCAAAGAGCATCTAATATTAGAGTCCCATTAGCATCCACTGTTAAATTCGAAATAAATCTAGGAATTTTTCAAATGTTCCTTAATTTTCATGGTTTGCCTTTAGAGGAACCTCATCAGCACTTAGAAAAATTTCATATGGTCTGTGATTTAGATAATCTCCCTCAAGTTACACCAGAAATTATTAAGATGAAATTATTCCCTCATACACTTAGGGACAAAGCTAGTCATTGGCTGTCCACATTAGATAAAGAATTAACTAGCTAGAAAGATATAGAATAGGACTTTCTTCGAAAATTTTATCCTTTAAGAAAAACTCAAAATATGGGAAAACATATATGGAGTTTTTCTCAAAGACTAGGAGAAACTTTGCATGAGACATGGGAAAAATTCAAAGATTTACTTAGAAAGTGTCCTCATCATGCTATACCCAAGTGGCAGCTCAATAGAATTTTTTATGATGGATTATTAGAACAACATAGAAATATGGTTGATTCTATATGTGGAGGAGCTTTTATGGAGAAAACTCCTTATGAGATTTACAATCTTTATGAGAATTTAAATGAAAATTCTAGAGATCAAGCCTCTTTTGAATTATATGACAGGGATAAGAAGAGAGGAATTTATGAATTGTATCATGATGATGATTCTAAACTTAGAAATGAGGTTAATCATATTAATCAAAGATTAAAAAAATTAATTTACTTATTGAAAATATTAAAAAGGCTTTTAACCCTCAACTTAATTCAAATAGTACATGTCTTATGTATGGTGAAAATGATTATTCTGAATTTCAATGTTATAATTTAGATCAATCATTTCACCCTATGCAAGAACAAGTGCAAGTAGTTCACAGTTTTTATAGAAATAGAGAATATTTTTCAAATTCTTATAATCTTAATTGGAGGAATAATTTTTCATGGAGAGACCCAAATAATATTCAAAATTCAGAAGCACTTAGACCCAATTTAAACTTTGAATTTTGTCCAAAATAAGAAAATAGATTTCAGAAAAATCAGCCCTCTCAAACCCAACCTGATGCTATGGAAATGATGCAGCAAATGAGCCAAATGATGCAATAAACTATGAATCAAATGATGTAGTACTAGAAACAAATTATAAAGGCCCTTGGGAATAAGAGAGAAGAGGGACAGCTACCTAGTCAGCCTATAGAAAATCCAGGGAACCGCCCAACAATAGGATTTCAGCATGGGGAGTCTAGTAGCATGAATCTAGGAAAAAACCCATGAAATGAAAATGTTAGGACAGTGAATGCATTAAGGAGTGGTAAGATCTTACCTGATCTTTATCCCCAAACATTAGAAGAAAAAGAAAACGTAGACAACCCAAAACAAAATCAAATAGGAGTAGAAGAGGATTTTATAGATTCTACCAAAGAAATTTCGAAAGAGAGGACAACCATTCCATTTCCTAAAGCTCTAGAGCCTAGACAAAGAAAGAAAAAGGAACAGAATGAAGAAATAAAGAAAATTTTACAAGATGTGTAAATTAGTCTTCCTTTACTCACTGCCATTGAACATATTCCTGAATATGCTAGAGTTTTGAAAGAAATGTGTACACCAAAAAGGGCACCTAGAGTAGAAAAATTATCCATACATGCTAGTGCATTATTATTAAATCAATTACCATTTAAATTGAGAGATATAGGTGCCCCTTTAATTTCGTGTGATATTGATGGATTCATTTTTCAGAATGCATTACTTGACACCGGTGCTAGTATTAATTTATTACCTACAAGTATTTGTGATAAATTTAATATTTCTGATCTTAAACCTTGTACTGTTACCTTACAATTTGCTAATAGATCTATAAAACATCCTAAAGGTATTTTAGAAAATGTGATAGTGACAATTAAAGGGTGTAAATTTCTAACTGATTTTGTAGTGCTAAAAATAGATTTTAATGGAAAGTTTTATGATACACCAATCATCCTAGGGAGACCATTTTTACATACAGCAAAGATGAATATTGATTTTCTCACAGGTATTGCGAAAATTTCATGTGGAGATCAATCAGTAGAAATTAAACTTTTTGAGGTATCAAATGATCTTAAGAAATTCCACGTATATGATTGTCATACCATAGATCTTCTAGATGATTTTGATAATCTAGATGTTATTGATGACTGTGCTGGAAGAATTAGAGGAAATAGAGAATATAAATTTAGAAGAAAAGAAAGAGGAAGATCATCTGAATTTAGAGTTGAAACCTCTTCCCTCTAGTTTAAAATATATGTTTTTGGAGGAAAATAATTTATTTCCTATTATTATTGCAGTTGATTTGAGTAATGAACAGGAAGAAGAATTATTAAATGTACTTCGAAAAAATAAGAAGGCTATGGGCTAGAAAATGGACGATCTAAAGGGCATTGATATGAAAGTATGCATGCATAGTATATATTTAGAAGAGGGGGCTAGAACTAGAAGGGAACCACAACGAGGATTAAATCCTAACATGATGAAAATTGTAAAAAAAGAAATTTTAAAGTGGCTGGTTGCTGATATTATTTATCCTATTTCAAATAGCAAATGGGTTAGTCCTACACAAGTAGTGCCAAAAAAATCAGGGATCACGGTTATAAAAAATGAAAATGGGGATGAAATACAAACAAGACTAACTACCGGTTGGAGAGTTTGCATTGATTATAGAAAATTAAATTCAGTTACTAGAAAAGATCATTTTCCCTTACCATTTATTGATCAAATTCTAGAAAAATTAGCTAGAAAAAACTTTTTTTGTTTTCTGGAGGGATACTCTAGTTATAATCAAATTTATATAAACCCTTTAGATCAAGAAAAAACAACTTTCACTTGTCCATTTGGTACTTTTGCTTTTAAACGCATGCCTTTTGGTCTGTGTAATACTCCAGCCACATTTCAAAGATGTATGCTGTCTATTTTTTCTGATATGATTGGAAAATACATGGAAATTTTTATGGACGATTTTTCTATTTTTGGTGAATCATTTGATGAATGCTTAAATCATTTACAGCATGTACTTGAGAAATGCATAGAGAAAAAATTAGTTTTGAGTTGAGAGAAATCACATTTTATGGTTAAAGAGGGAGTTGTGTTGGGTCATATTGTGAGTGAAAAGGGTTTAGAGGTGGATAGAGCAAAAATTGATATTATATCTAAAATGAAACCTCTAAATTCAGTAAAACAGATTAGATCTTTCTTGGGTCATGCATGTTATTACAAAAAATTTATTCAAGATTTTTCAAAAATTTCTAAACCTCTCACCATGCTATTATCTAAAGATGTGACTTTTAATTTTGATGTGAAATGTTTTGAGTCTTTTTCCGAAATAAAAAGATTACTTACTAAGGCACCCATTTTACAAGTTCCTAATTGGTCCCTTCCCTTTGAAATAATGTGTGATGCATCAAATTATGCAGTGGGGGCTGTTTTAGGACAAACAAAAGAGTCAAAACCCATAGTAATTTCATATGCTAGTAAAACTATATCCGATGCTCAATTAAATTATACCACGACTGAAAAAGAGTTGTTAGCTATAGTCTTTTTATTAGAAAGGTTTAGATCATATATTTTGAGAGCTAAAATTATTATTTATACTGATCATGCAGCATTAAAATATCTGTTAAATAAGAAAGATACAAAGCCACGTTTATTAAGATGGATTTTATTGTTGCAAGAATTTGACTTAGAAATAAAAGATAAAAAAGGTTTTGAGAATGTTGTTGCTGACCATCTTTCTAGATTAAGTGATACAGGAATAAAGGCAGCACCTTTACAAGACGCATTTCCAGATGAACAATTGATGGCAGCTCAACATCAACCATCACTATGGTATGCACATATTGTTAATTTTCTGGTTTCTAGAAAAACTCCAGAATAGTGGGATAAGAACATAAAACATTATTTCTTTTCTAAGATTAGAAATTATTTTTGGCATAATCTTGGTTTATATTACTTGGGCAATGATCAAATTTTAAGGAGATGTGTTCCTGAAGAAGAATATCATAGCATTATTAACATGTGCCATTCATCTAACTGTGGAGGACATTTCTCTGGATGAAAAACAGCTGCAAAAATTTTTCAGTGTGGTTTTTATTGGCCTACAATCATTAGAGATTCTATAGAATTTAGTAGAACATGTATTTCATGCCAATCTATAGGTAACATGAGTAAAAAAGATGAAATGCCCATGAGTAACATGTCAGTAGTCGAAATCTTTGATGTATGGGGAATTAGATTTCATGGGTCCCTTCCCATCAGCTGAAAAATATGAATATATTTTGCTTGCTGTGATTATGTGTTGAAGTGGGTAGAAGCTACTCCTACTAGAACTAATGATCATAAAATCGTGATGAAATTTGTGCAGGAAAATATTTTTTCGAGATTTGGATGTCCTAAAGTGATTATTAGTGATGGAAGAACACATTTTACAAATAAACATTTTAGGGAACTATTGAAAAAGAATGGAGTACACTATAGAGTAGCCACTCCATATCATCCCCAAACAAATGGGCAAGCTGAAGTAGTAAATAGGGACATTTAGAGAATTTTGAGAAAAATAGTTAGACCAGATAGGAAAGATTAGCCCACGAAATTATAAGATGCATTATGGGCTTATAGAACAGCTTATAAAAATTCCATAGGTATGTCCCCATTTCGTCTCATTTTTGGAAAGCCATGTCATCTTCTTGTGGAAATAGAGCATAAAGCATTATGGGCTATAAAAAATTTATGTATGGATGAGAAATCAGCTGGTGGGCATAGAATTTTTCAGCTACATGAATTAGAGGAGTTGAGGAATGAAGCTTATGAAAATCATAGAATATATAAAGAAAAAACTAAAACTTTCCATGATAAATACATTAGCAAAAAAAAAATTGATGTTGGACAAAAAGTGTGGTTATATGATTCTAGGCTGAAATTATTCCCAGGAAAATTAAAATCAAAATGGAAAGGGCCTTATGTGGTGGAAGAGACATATGATCATGGGGCTGTAATGATTAAAGATCCTAAAAGTGATCATAACTTTAAGGTAAATGGACAACGGCTTAAACATTATATAGAACATGAACGCCTTGCAGAAAAAGAAATTTTATTATTAAAAGAAATTCAAGAGTAAGACCAAGGAGTCTAGCTGGAGACATTAAATTCAGCACTACATGGAAGGCAACCCATGGTTTTTATTTCATTCTGTTTGATTTTTTTTTAAGCTCTATTTTTCTTAGAATTTCGTAGTACTTGTTTCTGTATTTGTTTTTATTTCTCGAAAAAGTGCAGGAGGAGTGTAAGATGAAGTGGAAAAATAAAAACAAGGTTGAGGTGATGTCTTTCTGAACTTCATCATTTATGAAAATATTTTTAATGCTTAACTTTGCAGATATGCATGCTTCACTTGAAAATTATATTTTCTGCATATTCTGTTTCAAGTTTTCTGTGTCATTGAGGACAATGTCATTTTTAAGTTGGGGGGTGAAGTATTCATTATTAATTTATGCTGTAGGAAAATTAAGAACATGTGTTTGTATTTTAGTCAACTTAGAACAGCAACTAAAAAAATAAAAATAAAATAAAATTCGGAAAAATTGCAACATCTATTTTCTGGTTTTCTGTTAGAAACAACAAACTGTCAAAAACAGCAGACAAAAAACATTTTGAAATTTGAAATTCTAGAAGACCCTTTTCTCACATTTCAATCCCCTAGATATATATTACTGAAATTCGAAATTACAGCTATAAAGAAGATAGTTTTAATTTATTTTTGACAAATTTATTGCTGCTAAAAATAGAACTGAAAATAGAAAACGGAATTGTCAGAACTATCTAATTTACAAATACCTTACATCATATTACATGCATGAAAAATTAAATCAATTAGATTGATTGATACCAAAAGATACTAGGAAGATTATTATTGAGTCAAAAGAATGATCTAGTAGCATAAAATGTTGGAATACTCCTTGGATACATGATAGATAACATGGATTTGATTTTACAGATTTTCACTTTATGATCTTGATAGATAGTATTTACTTGATGTGAAAATTTGATTGATCATTTGAGTTTAATGGAGATTTTTGCACCCTGATCTATAGGACTTGTGAGGAGAAATCACTTATTTTGAAAAAAAAAAAGAGAGAGCAATGTGAAAAATCTAGAAACAAAGAGTACACATGGAGGGTGTGAGACATCATTCTCATTGTCGAAAATCATGCATAGAAAAACACTTGCTGAAAAATAAGTGGATAAAGTGAAAGCCCTGAAAATGAAGAGTACACATGGAGGGTGTGAGACATCATTCTTATTGTCAAAATTTGTCTACAGGAAAAGCTACTTATCCACTATTTATTAAAAAAAAAAGAAGAAAAAGAAGGAAGAAATATAGTGCAAACTTCAAAAATCAAGTCATAGAAAAAGGGAAATGTAAGATCAATATTATTCTTGGATGAGTATTGATAATTGGAACATCTTGTAAATACATCTATTAGTGAAGAAGTGATAAAGAAGTGAAGTCTAGATTGTTATTCTAAGGATTGTTTAAATATTTAAGTGCTTGACATCATTCTTAAATACTTGATATAAGAATCCAAAGTGTTTAAAGGTTCATCATTTCTAATTATATATTTTTTTCTATATTGAAATATGATGTTTGAGATTTGTAAAATTTTATTTTCGTAATTCCATTGCTAAGAGACTAGCAATGATTTAAGTTGGGGGGTGTGATAAGTCTTCATTATCATGAGTTAATAATTAGTAAATAATATAGTTTTACCCTTAACTCATAATAAATACACTTATATTTGTGTTAAAGAATGATTTTTGGTTTTCAATTGATTAACGTAAATTTTTGGGTAATTATGTGATTTTATACGATTTTTACAGTCTTACCTTTGAGATAAATGAAGAAAAAGAAATAAAAATAAAAAATATTACAAAATAGGGGGACTTGCCAGCCAGCCGGGCCCGCAAGCGGGTCGGAAGTGCAGTCGGGGAGTAGCCGTGAGCAGGGGCTCAAGTGGCTTAGCTTAGACCAATAGGGGCACGTGTGCGCCACTCCCCTTCCACGTCACCAGTGGCCAGCTGGCTGTGGGGCAAGTAGTGGTCATACACGCGAGAGAAGGGATTTTTTAATTTGATTATTACGACTTTCCTGCAGATCGTCGGTGAAGGATTAAGCAACAAGAACCGTTGGATCATCGGCGAAAATCTCGTCAACACGAGTCGCGGAGCATTGCTACTAAAATTGTTGAACGATTTGCGATAAAAGGATTGCGAATCCATCGAGTAAATCATCTCCGATTGATCAACGAACAAGCCATCATCAGGGAACAGGACGATCCACTAGGAGACCAGTTGCCACCTCCTGAGAGTATACCAAATGCGATGAAGAGCCTCCTCTTGCTGCGCAAACTTGAGGATGAAGCTCCCTGACATGTGCCCCACCTCCATCCAGCTCCTCTCTGTCGGGTGACAGCTGCCAGAGATGATTCGATGACCCACTTCATTGATCTCTAGACTTCGCGAGAAGATCTAGAGATTGCCCACGTTGTCTTTGTCCAAGGAGAGCCTTCGAGGCTGTGGACACTGCACAACGATCCTCCCAAACGCTCAGGATTCCAGTGCATCGCCGACGCATTGCCATCGCGATGCTGGAACTTTGTTTTCCTGCTTTCAATTTAATTTACACTTCATTTAGTGATACTTTGTGTGATTTTAATTTACCAAACTATACTTTGTTCAATTATGATTCTTTTGGCTTTTACAGATCTTAATTTGATTAATTAAGTCGTTTGTAATTGCTTACGTAAGAATCACCAGGCAGAACTCTGTTTCCGCCTGATTCGCGTTCGCCCGGCACTGACATCATCTTGACGTCCGCACCCTTATTTCCCTATTTTTTATGAATTTTAAATATATTTCCTTTTTATTTCTTAGTATAAAATTCGTAAGAAAATCATATTCATTGAGAAAAATTCTAAATAATTATCAGATATTATATTACATCCCTATGATCGACTTGGAAAATTACCGCTATTTTTGGAATTTTTATTTAATTATAATTGATATATTTATTTAGAAATACTTCTAAATATCTGAAAATTCATATTTTCTAGTTTTATAAATTTTATATTTGCGTGATTTAATATACAACAACTGAGTCACGTCAATTGTCTTTTTCTTGATGACAACTTGTTCGTCGATCAATCAGAGATGTTTTACTCGATGGATTTGTGATCCTTTTATCATGAATTGTTCAGTAATTTTAGTAACAATACTCTACGAATCGCATTGATAAAATTTTTGTCGATGATCCAACAATTCTGGTTCCTTAACCCTTCACCGATGATTTATAGAAAAGTAGTGATAATCAAATAACAAATATGAATTTTTGCTTCGAGAGGATTCAAATGTGCACTAGTTGCCTCGCCCTTTCTAGGGAAGGTGACACGTGGTTAGTCCCACATCGCTTGTGCATCAAAGTGTTGGGCGAATATATAGTAATGTTATATTTTAAGGCAAGTCCCTTTCTCACACTTGTATGACCACTCCTTGCCCCACAGCTGGCTGGCCATTAGTGACATGGAAGGGAGGTGTGGTGCACACGTGCCCCTATTGGTCCAAGCCGCTCAAGCCCTTACTCGTGGCTACTCTCCTACTATGCTTCCGACCCACTTGTGGGCCCGGCTGGCTGGCAAGTCGCCCCCCATTTTGTCTTATTTTTATTTTTATTTCTTTTTCTTCATTTATCTCAAAAGTAAGACTGTAAAAATCATATAAATTTGTATAAAATCACATAATTATCCAAAAGTTTGTGTTAATCAACTAAAAACCACTTTTCACACTTTAACATAAATATAAGTCTATTTATCATGAGTTATGACTAAAACTATATTATTTACTAAATATTAACTCATGATAATGAAGACTTATTGATGGCAAGCGGGACCCATCTTCATCAGCTCAAGAGACACCAATAGTTTGAGTTCAGCCCGATCGACGCACGAAGATGAAGGTGCTGGGCTTTCACTACATGGCCTAGCCTTTCGGGACGACGACATTCTACCTTCGTGATGACGACGAGCTCAAGCTCACCCTTATCTTTCTTGGTATTTTCATGTTGACTTGTTGGGCCTCGCATTTGTGTGTTAGCAGGCCCAATTCTATGTGTGTGTGTTGTTGTTTGTGTCTCCCTTTCTTTAGGGTTTTATTGGGTCACTCTTTTGAGGCCCAATTAAAACCCTGAGGGGGGGGGATCTATGTGTCTTTCTTTTTGGGCCTCTCTTGGGGCTTATTTGGTTCTTCATTTGAGGCCCACTTAAGCACCATAAGAGAGCCCTCCTCTTTCTCCTTTTAGGGGAGCTTATGGAGTCTCTCTTTAAGAGGCCCAATAAGCCCCTTTTGTAGCCTTTTTGTGGCTTATGAGCTTGAGGGCCTCACCTCCCCTTAGCCCACTTGTGGGCCCCATATAAGGGGAGGTAGGACCCCTCTCAAGGAAGCGTTGTATTTTTGAGAGAAATTATTGTTTTGTGAGTACCTTCTCCGTGATCTAGGATAGGGAGGGAAGGAGGAAGAGGAAGGCCGTCGATACCCCCTTCGAGGACTTCGTTCCTCGTGATGTTGCTGCTCGCAAAGTCCCGCCGCTGCCTGAGACCACTGCCGCCGCCGGTCATCTCATTGCTGCTCAAGAGTTCGCCACTGTCACTAGACGAAACGGTCGCAGTTGCCGCTGCAGCCGCCACCACCTCTGCTGGAACCCCGTCACGCTGTCGTGATAAAAGGGACTCGCTTCGCCTCCCTACGAGCTGTCGCCATGCACTTTGCCGGAGTCTCTCGACTCCTAGTTTGACTGCCGCCTCTTCCTTCAGAACTCCACCCCAAACTCACTAGGGCCGCCTTCTGCTGCTCCGCCCAATCACTGGCCGTTCGCCGATGAACGCCAACCTGCCGCCAACGTCGAGAGAGACCCTGCAGCCATGCCAATGACCAGAACCAGTCCGAGCTCCTCACAGGCCCCTGCCGGAGTTTCCCAACGCTCCACCGCCGTCGCGCCGTTTTTGGTGCCGCTTAGACCAAGAGAGCTCAACCCTCCCTGGTATCATCAGCTAGATCGTCTCCTTCCTTTTCTCCACTTCCTAGTGCCACCAGAGAGGGCCGATCCTTCTGGCGACGGTTGGGTCTCCGCCCAGCCGCCCACGCTCGGCTTTCCCACTGAAGTGCGACTGGCGCTCGGCCTTCTCGCCGAAGCACCGCTGACATTCGGCATTTCCAGCGAAGCGCCACTGACATTCGGCATTTCCAGCGAAGCGCCGCTGATGCTCGGCCTTCCTGCCGAAGTGCTGCTGACGCTTGGCCTTCCCACTGAAGCGCCGCTAACGCTTGGCATTCCTGCCGAAGTGCCCCTACTACGTGCGCCCTACGTGTCGGCTCCTGCAGCCTGCGTGCCCACTTGGCGCTGCCACCCTTGTGCCCTAAGGCCACTGTGCAGCTTGCCGTGCACGCCCACTAGCGTGCCCTTCGGCCCACCAGCAGGCCCACGCCTGCTAGCATGCCACGCCTTATGACGATGATTATTGTGACTCTCGATTAGGACCGACCATCGACGCTGAGCATCGCTCTTCACCAGACGTCTCTACCTTCATCAAATCTCTGCTCCATCATGACCCGCTAAGCTACACAGCCCCAAAGGTCAGCTCTGTACCCCTTCTTAAGTTTAATTATCTTTCGAAGGGCTTTCTCAGCTCGTCTCCACTGTCATCAAGAGAATGTAGATAGGATAGGACAGTTATTGGATCATGACTTCCGATGCTATGCTAGATTTGTCACCGTTCGTGAGCTGCAGCCCTAGGCTACCTCACGACAACTGTTCCGCCATCTGTTCAAACGTGGACCGAGAGGGCCTCACCTTACCATCGTCGAGTGTTTTCCCGAGTTGTTTTGGGTTGATATTGCATATTGGTATATCTGCCTGTACTTAGGTTACGTGGTCAGACCTAGAGTCTAGGGTCCAGACATTCTTATCGGATCGGTCCTGCATCACTTATCAATGCAAAATGATGGTGGCTGTTCTCAACTACCATCTTGACGTGACTCAGTCGTTGTATATTAAATCATGCAAATATTAAATTTATAAAACTAGAAAATACGAATTTTCAGATATTTAGAAGTATTTCTAAATAAATATATCAATTATAATTCAATAAAAATTCCAAAAATAGTGGTAATTTTCCAAGTTGATCACAAGGATGTAATATAATATCTGGTAATTATTCAGAATTTTTCTCAATGAATATGATTTTATTACGAATTTTATACTAGGAAATAAAAAGGAAATATATTTAAAATTCACGAAAAAAAGGAAATAAGGGTGCGGACGTCAGGATGACGTCAGCACCTGGCGAACGCGAATCAGGCGGAAACAGAGTTCCATCTGGCGATTCTTACGTAAGCGATTACAGACAACTTAATTAATCAAATTAAGATCTGTAAAAGCCGGAAGAATCGTAATTGAACGCAGTATAGTTTGGTAAATTAAAATCATACAAAGTATCACTAAATGAAGCGTAAATTAAACTGAAAGCAGGAAAACAGAGTTCCAACGTCGCGACGGCGATGCGTCGGCGATGCACCGGAATCTTGAGCGTTCAGGAGGATCATCATGTAGTGTCCACGGTCTCGAAGGCTCTCCTTGGACAAAGATGACGTGGGCAATCTCTAGATCTTCTCGCAAAGTCTAGAGATCAATGAAGTGGGTCGTCGAATTGTCTCCGGCGGCTGTCACCCGGCGGAGCGGAAAAACGGCGACTTTGCAGCTCCCCGACGGCTGTCACCCGACGGAGAGGAGCTGGATGGAGGTGGGGCGTGTGTTAGGGAGCTTCATCCTCAGGTCTACGCAGCAAGAGGAGGATCTTCATCACATCTGGTACGCTCTCAGGAGGTGGCGACTGGTCTCCCGGCGGATCGTCCTCTTCCGGACGACGGCTTGTTCGTCGATCAATCGGAGATGATTTACTAGATGGATTCGTGATCTTTTTATCGCGAATCGTTCAGCAATTTTAGTAGCAATGCTCCGCGAATCGCGTTGACGAGATTTTTGCCGATGATCCAGCGATTCTCGTTGCTTAATCCTTCACCGGCGATCTGCAGGAAAGTCGCAATAATCAGATAAAAATATATGAATTTTGACTCTGGGAGGATTCGAACCCGCGCCGGTCGCCCCGCCTCTTCTGAGGAAGGTGTGACGGGGGTTTAGTCCCACATCAATTGTACGCCGAGTTTTCAAGTGAATATATAGTAATGTTAGCTTTGTGAGCAAAGTCCCTTCTCTCGCGTGTATGACCACTCCTTGCCCCACAGCTGGCTGGCCACTGGTGACGTGGAAGGGGAGTGGCGAACGCGCGTGCCCTGTCGGTCCCCAAGCCAAGCCGCTCAAGCCCTTGCTCGTGGCTTACTCCCCGACTGTGCTTCACGCCCGCTTGCGGGCCCGGCTGGCCAGCGGGACCCCCCATTTTTGCAATATTTTTATTTTTATTTCTTGTTCTTCATTTATCTCAAAAGTAAGACTGTAAAAATCGTATAAAATCACATAATTACCCAAAAATTCACGTTAATCAATTGAAAACCAAAAATCATTCTTTAACACAAATATAAGTCTATTTATCATGAGTTAAGGCTAAAACTATATTGTTTACTAATTATTAACTCATGATAATGAAGACTTATCACATCTCAATCAACTAAAGGACTTCATCATTGCACCTATTCGTGAACGTTCTTCCACTAGCAGCATCTAATAAGTCCATGTCGGTCACCACTTGTCCCTCAAAAAATCTGGATCAAGTCATAATTTGGTACTCCATGACATGGGCACTACCTAGTGTAATATTTCAATCTCTCCCACACTTGAAAAAATGTCTCACTAGGTCCCCATGTGAAACCTCTAGTAGCTTTTCTTGGAGCATTCATCTTCCCACCAAATAGTATTTCAAAAATGTGGATTCCATCTCACCCATGCATTAAATTCTTAGGCTAGTCCCCTAAGCCACTCTTTGGCTCTATCCTTAAGGGTGACGGAGAACAACATCTTAAAAGTATCTAAAGGAATCTTTGAGTAATCCATGGAATATAAGTAGAAGGCTAATCAAATGAGAGTCAGCTCTAAAATTAACATTCTGATCTAAGGGTGCATTAACTCTCATAACTAGCCAACACTACATTGGTGTGGAATGATCCCTCAACCTCATCCTACCATTGCCCTACTAAACTTGTTGGTTATGAGCCATGGGTGCTGATTCTACTCTAACTTCATTATCAAAGACGAGGAAGATGAAGATGCTGATTGCTTCATTATCAAATCAAGCTTCGGGTCAACTAAGGGGGTTTTATTAGATGTATGGCGGTACATCAATTGCGTAGTTCCACATAATAAGGGGTAAAATTTTAATATGTCACTAAAAATGGTAAAATTATAATTTTATTAGAATAAAAAGATTCAATTAGCTTAAAATTAATTTTAGTCTAAATTCAACATGAATTTCTCAAAAGTTGAGAGATTACGTCAGCCATAAAAATCTAGATATTTCAATAATAAAGAAATAGATAAAAACTGATAATTATATATTAATAAAAAATTCAATCATTTCAGCTCAAATAATAATTAATTCACGAAATTCTTGAGTATAAATTAGGGTTTTAACCTAATTTTTACCAATTTTGAGGCAATGAAGCAAAATTAACTTCATCAGAAATTAAATTGAAGTAAAATGTAAATTTTAACTCAATTTTAGAAAATTGCTCAATATAATTCTCAAATTGATCAAAATTAGCCCTAAATTAAAGCTGAAAAAAAGAAAGCTTTCGAGAAAAACTCAATTTTATTCCATTAAATTCAAATTAAATGCAATCACTCCCTAAAGTGGCTTAGTCATTGTATAGTAAATCACACAAATTTTAAATTTATAAAATTAGAAAATACGAATTTTTGGATATTTAGAAGTATTTCTGATCAAATATATCAATTCTAATTCAATAAAACTTCCAAAAATAGCGGTAATTTTCTAGGTCGATCACAAGAATGTAATATAAAATTTTATACTAGGAAATGAAAAGAAAATATATTTAAATTCACGAAAAAAGGAAATAAGGGTGCAGACGTCAAGATAACATCAGCACCCAGCGAACATGAATTGAGCAAAAATAGAGTTCCACTCGACGATTCTTACGTAAGTGATTATAAATGATTTAATTAATCAAATTAAGATCTATAAAAGCTTGAAGAATCGTAATAGAACAAAGTATATTTTAGTAAATTAAAATCACAAAAATTATCACTACAAAGATGCAGAAATTAAGTTGAAAGTAGGAAAACAAAATTCCAGCATCGTGATGGCGAAGTGTCAGTGATACATTGGAATCCTGAGCATTCAAGAGAATGGTCGTGTAGTGTCCACAGCCTCAAAGGCTCTCCTTGGACAAAGATGACATGGGCAATCTCTAGATCTCTTTGTGAAGTCTAAAAATTAATGAAATGGGTCAAAAAATCATCTCCAATGACTGTCATCTCACAAAGCGGAAAAACAATGACTTTGCGGCTCTCCAGCGGCTGTCACTCGACAGAGAGGAGCTGGATGGAGGTGGGGCATGTGCCAAGGAGCTTCATCCTCAAGTCCGCATAGCAAGAGGAGGCTCTTCATTGCATCTGGTACACTCTCAGGAAGTGATGATTGTCTCTTGACAGATCATCCTCTTCCTGACGACATCTTGTTCATCGATCAATCAGAGATGCTTTACTTAATGGATTCATGATCCTTTTATCGTGACTTATTCAACAACTTTAGTAACAATGCTTCGCGAATTGTATTGACAAGATTTTTGCTAATAATCCAACAATTCTGGTTGCTTAATCCTTCACCGGTGATCTACAAGAAAGTCACAATAATTAGGTGAATTTTGACTCTAGGAGGATTCAAACCTGCGTTTGTTGCTTACCCTTTCTAGGGAAGGCGTGACGTGACTCAATCGTTGTATATTAAATCATGCAAATCTAAAATTTATAAAATTAGAAAATACAACTTTTCAAATATTTAGAAGTATTTCTAAACAAGTATATCAATTATAATTCAATAAAACTTCCAAAAATAGCAATAATTCTCCAAGTCGATCACAGATATGTAATATAATATATGGTAATTATTCAAAAATTTTCCCAATGAATAAGAGTTTCTATGAATTTTATACTAGGAAATGAGAAAGAAATATATTTAAAATTCATGAAAAAGGGAAATAAGGGTGTGGACATCAATATGACGTCAGTGCCCTAGCGAACGTGAATTAGATAGAAATAGAGTTCCACCCAATGATTCTTATGTAAGCGATTATAGATAATTTAATTAATTAAGTTAAGATCTATAAAAGCCAGAAGAATCGTAATAGAACAAAGTATATTTAGTAAATTAAAATTACACAAATTATCACTAAATGAAGCATAAAGTAAGTTGAAAGTAGGAAAATAAAGTTCCAGCATCGCAACGGCAATGCGTCGGGGATGCACCAGAATCCTGAGCATTCAAGATGATCGTCATGTAGTGTCCACAACCTCGAAGGATCTCCTTGGACAAAGACGACGTGAGCAATCTCTAGATCTTCTCACGAAGTCTAGAGATTAAAGAAATGGGTCGTCGAGTCGTTTTCGGCGGCTGTCACTTGGCGGAGCAAAAAAATAGTGACTTTGCATCTCTTCGACGACTGTCACCTGAGAGGGAAGGAGCTAGATGGAGGTGGGGCGCATGTCAGGGAGCTTCATCCTCAAGTTTGCGTAGCAAGAGGAGGCTCTTCATTGCATCTAGTATGCTCTCAAGAGGTGGTGACTCATCTCCTGGCAGATCATCTTCTTCCTGACGATGGCTTGTTCGTCGATCGATCGGAGATGATTTACTCAATAGATTCGCAATCCTTTTATCGTGAATCGTTCAGCAATTTGAGTAACAATGCTCCGCGAATTACGTTGATGAGATTTTTGCCGATGATCTAACAATTCTGATTGTTTAATCCTTCACCGGCAATCTATAGGAAAGTCACAATAATCAAATTAAATTATGAGTTTTGGCTCTGGGAGGATTTGAACCCATACTGGTTGCCCTTGCCTCTTCTAAGGAAGGTGATGGGTTTAGTCTCACATCAGCCAAATTTTCAAACAAATATATAGTAATGTTACATTCCTAAGCAAAGTCCCTTTCTCGTGCGTGTATGACCACTCCTTGCCCCACAGTCGGCTGGCCACTGGTGACGTGGAAGGGGAGTGGCACACATGTGCCCCCATCAGTTCAAGTTGCTTGAGCCCCTATTCGCGGCTACTCCCTAATCACTTTTCACACTTTAACACAAATATAAGTATATTAATCATAAATTTAGACTAAAACTATATTATTTACTAATTATTAACTCATAATAATGAAGACTTATCAAGGTGATGCGGGTTTAGTCCCACATTGATTTGTGTCGAAGTAATATTACATTCCAAATCAAGTCCCTTTCTCATGCTTGTATGACCACTCCTTGTCCCACAACCGACTGGCCACTAGTGACATGGAAGGGGAGTGGTGCACACGTGCCCCTGACGTGACTTAGTCATTGTATATTAAATCACGCAAATATAAAATTTATAAAACTAGAAAATATGAATTTTTAGATATTTATAAATATTTCTGAATAAATATATCAATTATAATTTAATAAAACTTCCAAAAATAGCAATAATTTTCCAACTCAATCAGAGCTATGTAATATAATATCTGGTAATTATTCAGAATTTTTCTCGATGAATATAATTTTCTATAAATTTTATACTAGTAAATGAAAAGGAAATATATTTAAAATTCAAGGAAAACAGAAATAAGGGTGTAGACGTCAGGATCACATCAGCGCCCGGCGAACACGAATCGGGCAAAAAAAGAGTTCTGCCCGACAATTCTTATATAAGCAATTACAGATAATTTAATTAATCAAATTAAGATATGTAAAAGCCAGAAGAATCATAATAGAACAAAGTATATTTTAGTAAATTAAAATCAACAAATTATCACTAAATGAAACAAAAATTAAGTTGAAATCAAGAAAACAGAATTTTGACATCACAGTGGCGATGCATCGGTGATGCATTAGAATCCTGAGCATTCAAGAGGATTGTCGTGTAGTGTCTATGGCCTTGAAGGCTCTCCTTAGACAAAGACAACGTAGGCAATCTCTAGATCTCTTGGCAAAGTCTAGAGATCAATGAAATGGGTCATCGAATCATCTCCAACAACTGTCACTTGGTGGAGCAGAAAAACGGTAACTTTGTAGTTCTCTGGTGGTTATCACCCAACAGAGAAGAGTTGGATGGAGGTGGGGCGCGTGTCAAGAAGCTTCATCCTCAGGTCCGTGCAGCAAGAGGAGGCTCTTCATTGCATCTGGTACGCTCTCAAGAGGTGGCGACTCATCTTCCAACGGATCATCCTCTTCCCGACAATGGCTTGTTTGTCGATCAATCGGAGATGAGTTATTCAATGGATTCACGATCCCTTTATTGCAAATCGTTCAGCAATTTTAGTAACAATGCTCTGTAAATTGTGTTGATGAGATCTTTATTGATGATCCAGTGATTTTGGTTGTTTAATCCTTCACCGGTGATCTACAGGAAAGTCACGATAATCAGATAAACAAAATATGAATTTTGGTTTCGAGAGAATTCGAACCTACATCGGTTGCCCAGCCCTTTCTAGGGAAGTGTGACGTGGGTTAAAAAAGTCCCACATCAGTTGTGCGCCGAAATTTCTGGTGAATATATAGTAATACTACATTTTTGATCAAGTCCCTTTCTTGCGCGTGTACGACCACTCCTTGCCCCACAACTAGCTGGCCATTGGTGACGTAGAAGGGGGGTGGCACACACGTGCCCAATCTGTCTAAGCCACTTGAGCCCTTGCTCGTGGTTACTCCTCAACTGTGCTTCCAACCCACTTGTAGGCCCAGCTGACTGGCGGGTTCCCCCATTTTGTCTTATTTTTATTTTAATTTCTTTTTCTTCATTTATCTCAAAAGTAAGACTAAAAATCATATAAAATTATATAAAATCACATAATTATCCAACAATTCACGTTAATTAACTAAAAACCAATTTTCACACTTTAACACAAATATAAGTTTATTTATCATGAGTTAAGGCTAAAACCATATTATTTACTAATTATTAACTCATGATAATCAAGACTTATCAATTACCAAGTCCAGTATTACTATATATGAACCTCAAAACTCAGAATATAATCAATGTGGGACTAAACGTAAGGTCATAGTCTCCAAAAAGTTTTAATAATTTTAATACCTAAAATATCCCTTGTTTAGTAAACCATAGAAATTTAAAATTTATAAAACTAGAAAATATTAATTTTTAGAAATTTAGAAGTATTTTGGAATAATTATATCAAATATTGTTTAATCAAAGTTCTAAAAATAGTAGAAATTTTCTAGGTCAATTACATGGATGTAATATAATATCAGGTAATATTTTAGAAATGTTCTCAAAGAATATGTTTTTTTATGAATTTTAAACTAATTAAAAGAAAAGAAAATATATTTAAAATTTATGAAAAAGGAAAATAAAGGTGTAGATGTCAAGATGATGTTAGCACCTAATGAATGTGAATCGGGTAGAAATAGAGTTTTGCCTGGTGATTTTTACATAAACGATTATAGATGATTTAATTAGTCAAATTAAGATCTATAAAAGCTAGAAGAATCATTACAAGAAGTATTTTGCAAGCCTTGTTGATCCTAATTTCACATGTGGAAGCCCCACAAAATCAGCTAAGGTGCTACTACGATTTTTATTTTATTTTTTCCAGTGTAATCTTTACCATGTTCTATCCTTTATCTCAAGTTTAATCATGATTAATGATTTGTAAAAGCATTAACTAATCTGAAAACTTTTCGACCGACTACTAATCAAGAAAGAGAAGGATTCAATTTACTACTCAAAGTTAATAATAAGAATTCATAACATAAATCTGGCAGAAGATCAAAGTAGATTTTCTAAATTTAAGAGTGTGGGTTATATGCACCATGAAAGATGATGAACTTCATCATCTAGTTATAAGCATTATAGCACCTTATGTATTCTCATGTATTCACCCTCATGCATTTATTCTTCCCCCCCAAGCAACCAGTTGCATTGTCCTCAATGCATCTATATAAGAGAAAAAGGAGAAAGCATTAAATGTGCAAATTGATTTTCACTCTTCATCCTTCTGATTTTCTTTTGTATTAATCCATGTCATGATATGCACTTCCTCTAGAAGAACGCTAGATCTATTCGCTTAATAAAAACTCAAGAAAAGCATCAAAGGATAGAGAAAAATAAAAAAAAAGGAATGTAAAAAAGAAAGCTATGCCATCTTAGAGTACATGATGGAGGGGAAGTTCTAAGAAGATTGAGATTTGATAAGTCTTCATTATCATGAGTTAATAATTAGTAAATAATATAGTTTTAGCCTTAACTCATGATAAATAGACTTATATTTGTGTTAAAGAATGATTTTTGGTTTTCAATTGATTAACGTGAATTTTTAGGTAATTATGTGATTTTATATGATTTTTACAGTCTTACTTTTGAGATAAATGAAGAACAAGAAATAAAAATAAAAATATTGCAAAAATGTGGGGACCCACCGACCAGCCGTGCCTGCAAGTGGGTCGGAAGTGCAGTCAAGGAGTAAGCCGCGAGCAGGGGCTCGAGCGGGTTGGCTTGGGGACCGATAGGGCACGCGTACGCCACTCCCCTTCCACATCACCAGTGGCCAGCCGGCTGTGGGGCAAGGAGTGGTCATACACGCGAGAGAAGGGACTTTCCTCACAAAGCTAACATTACTATATATTTGCCCGAAAAATCGACGTACAACCGATGTGGGACTAAACCCCTGTCACACCTTCCTCAGAAGAGGTAGGAGACCAACGTGGGTTCGAATCCTTCTAGAGTCAAAATTGATATATTTTTATTTGATTATCGCGACTGTCGTACAGATCGCCGGCGAAAATCTCATCAACGCAATTCACGGAGCATTACTACTAAAATTGCTAAACGATTCGCGATAAAAGGATCGCGAATCCATCGAGTAAATCATCTCTGATTGATCAACGAACAAGCCGTTGTCGAGAAGAGGACGATCTGCCGAGAGACCAGTCGCCACCTCCTGAGAGCATACCAGATGCGATGAAGAGCCTCCTCTTGCTGCGCGGACCTGAGGATGAAGCTCCCTGACATGCGCCCCACCTCCATCCAGTTCCTCTCTGTCGGGTGACAGCCGCCGGAGAGTCGCAAAGTCGCCGTTTTTCCGCTCTGCTAGGTGACAACCGCCGGAGACGATTCAACGACCCACTTCATTGATCTCTAGACTTCGCGAGAAGATCTAGAGATTGCCCACGTTGTCTTTGTCCAAGGAGAGCCTTTGAGGCTGTGGACACTGCATGACGATCTTCCCAAACGCTCAGGATTCCGGTGCATCATCGACGCATCGCCGTCGTGACGCCAGAACTCTGTTTTCCTACTTTCAATTTAATTTACGCTTCATTTAGTGATACTTTGTTGATTTTAATTTACCAAACTATACTTCGTTCAATTATGATTCTTCTGGTTTTTACAGATCTTAATTTGATTAATTGAGTCGTCTGTAATCGCCTACATAAGAATCGTCGGGTGGAACTCTTTTTCCGCCTGATTCGTGTTCGCCGGGCACTGACATCATCCTGACGTCCGCACCCTTATTTCCTTTTTTTTCGTGAATGTTAAATATATTTCCTTTTTATTTTCTAGTATAAAATTTGTAAGAAAATCGTATTCATTGAGAAAAATTCTGAATAATTACCAGATATTATATTACATCCTGTGATTGACCTGGAAAATTACTGCTATTTTTGAAAAAAAATTTGAATTATAATTGATATATTTATTTAGAAATACTTCTAAATATCTGAAAATTCGTATTTTCTAGTTTTATAAATTTAATATTTGCGTGATTTAATATACAACGACTGAGTCACGTCAAGGTTCAATGGATGGATCATATAATTGAGTGGAAATGGGTAAAGAAGGAGGGTTCATTTCTAAATAAGGTTTTAATCTTTAACTATTCACATTAAAAGTTTTACCAGTTTTTAGATCTGCAATTAATACTGCACCACAGTCAAAAACTTTAATCACAAGGTATGGTCTATCTCATCTAGATTTTAATTTCTCAAGGAATAGTTTCAATCGAGAATTGTAAAGCCAAACTTTTTGATGCTCGTGAAAACTCTTTCTGCTCACCTTTTTGTTATAAAAAGTCTCCATTTTTGCTTTATAATCAGAGACTTCTCATACATCTCATTGGGTAGTTCTTGAAGCTCTTGCAACTACAACATATGGTGCTTACCTACGGCATCTAAAGAGAGATTAAGATTCTTTATAACCTAATAAGCCTTATGTTTGATCTCCATAGGAAGGTGACAAACTTTTTGACGTGACTTAGTCATTGTATTGTAAATCACATAAATTTAAAAATTACAAAACTAAAAAATACTAATTTTTAGATATTTAGAAGTATTTCTGAACAAATATATCAATTATAATTCAATAAAATTTACAAAAATAGTGATAATTTTCCAAGTCGACCACAGAGATGTAATATAATATTGGGTAACTTTTTAGTATTTTTCTCAAAGAATATAATTTTTTATAAATTTTATACTAAGAAATGAAAATAAAATATATTTAAAATTTGTGAAAAAAAGAAATAAGGGTGTGGATATTAGGATGATGTCAGCACCCGACAAACACGAATCAAATAGAAATAGAGTTCCACCTAGTGATTCTTACGTAAGCGATTATAGACGATCTAATTGATCAAATTAAGATCTGTAAAAGCTAGAAGAATCGTAATTGAATCAAATATAGCTTAGTAAATTTCAATCACACAAATTATTACTAAATGAAGTAAAAATCAAGTTGAAAGTAAAAAAATAGAATTCCATCATCACGGCTGCAATGTGTTGATGATGCATGGGAATTCTAAGTATTTGGAAAGATTGTCGTGTAGTGTCCACGGCCTCGAAGTCTCTCTTTGGATAAGGACGACATGGGCAATCTTTAGATATCTTTGCAAAGTCTAGAGATGAATAAAATGGGTCATTGAATCATCTTTGACAATTGTTACTCGGCGGAGCGAAAAAATAGTGACTTTGTGACTCTCTAGCGGTTGTCACTCGACGGAGAAGAGCTAGATGGATGTGGGCCCCGTGTTAAGGAGCTTCATCCTCAAATCCGTGCAGCAAGAGGAGGCTCTTAATCTAATTCGATATGCTCTTAGGAGGCCGCGACTCGTCTCTCAATAGATTGTCCTCTTTTCGATGGCGGCTTATTCATCGATCAATGAAAGATGATTTACTCGATGGATTCATGATCTTTTTATCACGAATCATTTTCAGCAATTTTAGTAACAATGCTTTGTGAATTATGTTGACAAAATTTTTACCAATGATCTAATAATTTTAGTGGTTTAATCCTTCACTATTGATCTACAAGAAAGTCGAGATAATCCTTCATTGGGCTCTAGGAGGATTTGAACTTATGCTGATTGCCTGCCTACATGAGAAAGATTGAAATAAGTACTCTAATGCCCTTATCAAGTGACGTCGTCATAATATATCTCTATTATAACTAAGGAGTAATTTAGATATTAAAATCTTTGAAGCCTTTCAAGGGAAGGTGTGATGTGAGTTTAGTCCCACATCGCTTGTGCGCCAAAGTTTTAGACGAATATATAGTAATATCACATTTACAAGTAATGATTACTTTTCTCTCACATGTAAGACCACTCATTGCCTCAAACTCGATTAG